CAAAAATTTCATCACAGCTTGAAAGAACATCACAAAATTAGTAATATTCCAAAGTTTCGTTGCGAAATGTTGTAAAATGCGGATAATATAGCCTTGCGAAGTTTGCTGTTTTTCAGTCATTTGGTATTACGCACGGGAAATTGACAGCCCAATCGGGTGTTGGGGCATCAATTTCCCGTTTGTAATACAAAATGACTGAAAATTGCAAATTTCGCAAGGCTATATTATCCGCATTTACAACATTTCGCAACGAAACTTTGGAATATTACTAATTTTGTGGTGCTCTTTCAAGCTGTGATGAAATTTTTGTCTAGACCAAAATTTAGTCTATAATGCAAATGGTCCATTGGTTAATGCTCGTCGTCATTATAGAGCAGTTCTTCACGTATGCGCGCAACAACAAGTTATACGCAAAATTTTCAGGGAGGGTGTGATGTTAAGTTCATTATGAGACTGCGGGATTAGAGTGCAGCATTATCACTTGTTCTTCATACTCTCGTTAAATATCAAATACACTATTTATTTCATTTAACACCTTCGGCAACATACATGTACAACTTACCCGTGTGGATGGTTAGGTGCATTGGGTGGGAGGCCTGCCGTTTGTATACCAGATACTTACCGTTACTTGGATTCAGGTCAAGCTTCCAAGTATTGACCTGACCATCCGTTTGCACCTATCACACCGAGTTACTCGGTGGAACGCAAACAAACGATGAAGAATTAAGAATCAGAGTGACAAGAAAAATTTTTTTTCTAGCTTGCGCTTACAACTGCTTGTCAAGCTGCGCTTCTCACAATGATGCAGGCAACGCCTGTTGTGTTTCCTGCCTTTAACGCCTAGGTTCGGCCCATGCTCCGCGCGCTATGTTACCTTGTTGTTAACCTTGCTTATTGCATAACCTCATATAAAATTTTGTTTGTTGTCATGGAAAGTCATTGTTTACACGGCCGTCGCATAAAATTTCCCAAAATCTTTATATTTCAAAATTTACGCCCTATGGTTCAACGACTGTTTCTGTGATTTTATAGAAATGGTAAATGGCGTGCAAATGCCTAACACCATTTTCATTGATGGCCTTAACCGAGCTATTCCAAATCCATTCACTCATGGCGCACCGAGAGTTCAAGTTCCAGCTCCTCACAATATTCCAACATTTGCTGGAGGACAACGTCCGCCCAATTACCAACAGATAGTATTAGAGGAACAGCGGCGCCGTTTGTTCGAAATAGAAAGAATAAGAGTGGAGGAAGCACATCGTCTCGCTCGAGAGCAACAACTTCGTCTGCAACAACAACAACAACAACAACAGCAACAGCAACAACAACAGCGACGCCGACAAGAGGAGGAACAAAAGCGTGCTCGTGAGGCAAGGCAACGTACAGAGTTGCAGCGACTACAAGCTGAGCAAGCTCGACTACGTGAACAACAGATGCGACAACAGAGGCAACCAGCGGAGCAACAACGACAACGTGACGAACAACAACGGCTTCGTGACCAACAACAACGTCAACGGCAAGAACAGCAACGACAACACCAGGAACAACAAACAGGTCAACGGATTTTACAACAACTGTTGCGAAATAGAAATGCTTTTGTTACGCAACAAACACGACCGGGTCATCCAAATCAGTCGGTTTTCCAGGTTGTTGTCAATAATAATGCCAACAGTAATCCTGTCCGTCCACAGCGTTCACCTCCAAGAATTATCGAACTGCCTCCAGATTCCTAGCATTTCGTTATATGCATACTAATGTTTACTGTTTGAAAACAAAGAGATTAAAGCCTGGTTCCATTATGTTGTGACGGTTGCGATCATATTAAGCTGACGATGTAATAGTGTCGATATATTCACTCTGCATTCATTAAAGACTCCACTCAGAAGACAAGAAAGAACAAAACTATTTCACACTATCAAACATAATTTCTTTACGACAGTTGCAACGAAATGGAAACCATTCTAAGTGAATTATAGTTATTTAAAACTAAATAATTGTTAGTGTTGTTGCGATCAATTCAATTCATTCCAACGTCACACAATTAAGCCTGGATCAAACGAGCATGAGAGTTGGCAATCACGTGATCTTGGGTATAGCTGTTCCTAAAGTGTTTTATTAAAGTTATAACGTAATTGGAACACTCGTCAGACCTTTATTTTGTTAATTTATAGAGTAAGTAACCATAATTGCTGCATGCCATAATTCATCAACTCTCGTCCTCGTTTGACATAGGCTTTAGTTAACAAGTTGTTGCCATTAGCACCTTATCCTCTTCATATAAGCACATGTGCTATGCAGCGGATATTCAATATATTTGCCTATAAAAATGCGCACTTCACGCTCGGAATGAACAACCAAAATAGCAAGAAGTAAGATGTATTTCATACTCAACGAAAGAAATTGTAAAAACGAAATCGATAAAAAAATTGAAACAAACAGTGGAATTCAGAATCCTAATGCCAGCAAAGAGTGAAAGAACCAAGAAATATGGCGATTCAAGTTGAGGGTGTCCTTAGCGAACATCAGTGATGAACGCAGGACGATCATTGTCGCGGTATTTTGATCGTGAGAAGTTTGTATGCATAAAATTGCATAAAATATCTTGATAAAGACTTAAAGGCGCATGCGCGTGTATCTGGGTGCTTATATGAGGGATAATAGGGTGGTCAAAGTTCTCTGTGCATATTATGCATGTTTATCGCGATCGTGACTAAAACACCACACGAGTAACATACGAGTAACACACGAGTAAAATACAAGTACACACGAGTAACATACGAGTACACACCAGTAACATACGAGTAAAATACGAGTACATACGAGTAAAATACGAGAATTAGCACGCTTTCTTTAAAGTTACTTTCACTTTGGCTTCGTATTATGTTCATGTTGTAAATGCCTTATTGACATAGGCGTACGGGGGGGTGGGGCAACTGCCCCCCAAAATTTTGGAAAACCATGGAAATTCGGGCAAACGCTAGGAAAAATCAAGAAAATTCGAGCAGATTTATGAGAAAATATGTTAAAATCAGGTTATTTCTTTACAATTCTCCATAAAAATTCGGGCAAACTTTCAACTCCCCCCCCCCCTCCCCCCGCAGAAAACATCAGCCCCGTTCTCCTATGTGTTTTGCAAATTTAATACGTCAATTGTACACCTGTTAATACGTTTTCAACAGGGAAATATAAAATGCTTAGGGTTCATTATTTATCGGTTGGGGGGGGGGGCTGGCAAAATAATGGGGGGGATATATTTTATGGGTGTAAAATAAAAAGAGTGGTTTAAATCTTTTGAAGAAGTGTTTTGGGGAGACAATAAAATTTTATAGCATTGATATAAAGAAGATAGTATAGAGATAGTGGCGTACGTAGCCAGTGTAAAAGGCGTGAGCCATTTTAGGGGAGGTCTTGGAGCATGCTCCCCAGAATATTTTGAAATCTAGGGTCCCTGAAATGCGATTTTCGGGGTGTGTGCATAAGTCCGAAGACTGTATAATGCATAAAAGACATGATTTTTCGTGATGGAAAATGATGGGTTAAAATAATGCGAATTACTTTTAAAACCGAATGATGATTGAAAGTAAATATATTTTACATTTAAAAACCCAAAGTAAACCCTTTCTTCTTGGGGCCATATCTACTTACTTAGACAAGATTATACACAATTATATTGTGGATTTGGATTTTATTTCACACCCCCCCCGTTGCCTAAATCCTGTCCAGCATCCCCAAGTTGAAGGTCCTCTCTACGCCCCTGGTTGTAAAGAGCACACAAAAGAATA